AAAAAAAAAAACTTTTCAGACCTGTTTTTTTCGGAAGCTTTCGTCATCATAAAGAATACTCATCGGGCCCGCAACATCAAATTCTTTATTTTGCTCAATCAGTTCTGAAAAAAAAGACATTAACTCAAGGAACATGAGCTAAGCCGAAAATCAGGATCCCTTTCACATTTGATTTTTTGCGAAACAGTTAAAAACACAGAAATGGTCTGGCCAGCAGTCAATTAGTCCTTTGCTAGCGATAGCCAATCGTTAACAAAACTGTCGGTCCTTCGCTTCATATGGTTAAATTATTTTTACCATCAGATTGAAGGACTGCTTGAAACCTCTAATTCAAAAAGATTTACTGAGAAGAAATACATGCCCAGGAACCCAATCGCTTCCCAACAGCAATCCTCATAAGATGAAGCTATTGGCAGATTTGCCAACGAGTGGTTAATTTTGGCAGAGTTTTATCGGAGGGGTATTTTTAAATGCTTTCTTTTTGCCAATACTGTGAAATAACAGAGATTACTTCGGTCTCTCATAAACGGTAGAGTCTGGGTGGCAAGAAAAGCAAAATTTTGAGCAGAAACGTGCAAAAATCAAGCAAAAAAGTTAAAAACCAAAAAAATCTAGATAGAAAAAGCCCTTACCGCGGTCGAGATATGGTATGATCGATGTGGGTATGAAAAATTGCATAGCAGAATCGATCAGAGAGAGCTGCTGCAGCGACAATAGTAGCGATGCGTCAGATGCATTTTTACGTGCTTTCATGATTTCCTCCGTCAGCTGCAAAATATTTTGAAGTAAAAAATCAAACATAAAAACACTTCCACTTATACTCTCCCTAAAAAACAGGCTTCCCCGGTACGAAGCTTCAGACAGGACAAAAAACCGTATTTAATCCATTCGAAAGGGTTAAAATCAACCTCTCGCTGGCAAAGTTGTCAGTGGTGACAGTCTCATATAAGGATTTAGATGGCCACAGAATCGTAATTAACACATTTTTTATGTTGGAAGTGCAGAGAAAAATTCATAATTTATTAAAATCAGATTTTTGCATGCGGCTTAGCAAGATCACCCAAATTATCAGGGTAAAAATCTTCATAACCACAACATGAAGATTTCCCTAGGCGGGCAAGCCCCAGACTGCCTGCCTGATCATTATATTATTAATTTGCGCTGAACACCGCCTAAAAATTTTGTTCTAACTTCAAGCCGTTGCATACTACTTACTTGAATACTTCAGCAGCCGCGTATCATCAATGTAACCTACAAAAAAAGAAAGTCCATCGACTTTTTTTTTTGTAACGTTGAAGGCATCAAAAACATCTGTGCGGAAAGAGAAAATACAAAGCACCAAATTGTTGGATGCAAAAACTGGTGATCAAAAAGGGAGGCGTACTGCGGGCGGAAATCAACCAAAAAATAAAAAAAAAATCCGTTCAAAAGCATTAATCTCTTGCCAGTCACACTGCCTTGAAATGTTAATAATATCGTTAAAAGCTAGAAAAGAGGACTCAAAAATCAACAAAAAAAATCATTGTTCTGTGTGGCATAGGCTAAAACTCAATCGGCTAAGGGATGAAACACAAACTACTTCTTCACATGCTCATTTAATATGACTTTCAAAAATTCCTGGACCTGTCTTCTAATATTTCAAATATACATCGCCACCCTAAGTAGAAAGAGCAAAAGGTCTTTATCCCCTGTCTCTACTTGCTTACAACGACCTATAGTTTCACAACAATCGTTCATGAAAACTTTTAAAAGCATTACCCGTGTAAGTATCATCATTAACATGTGCGAGTAAGAAAGGCGATTGTCCACAAGTTTTTTTGATGCTCCACTGGCCTGAAGTAAA